ACATGGTGATCACCAGAGCAATGGGAAGACACCTTAGAAGCTACCCTCATGCCAGGTTCCCGGATCATGAGGACTTACTAAGACATCCTCTACTCGACGATCACCTTTCGAAGGTAAGGCAACGGTGAGGCGTACCCTAGGGGTGGTGTGTGCGATTTGTGTGTCGTTTTCATTTGCATTTATCTTGTCATGTTATTGGTGTTCTACGCTTGTTTTTATTTTGTCCATACATTCTTTCATGCTTTGTTTAACAGTTAAAAGTTGCGAGGAAAAGTAAATCTAAAGCTATTACAAATGGCGCGGGTCCACATCACCAAAATTAACCAGGACCCGATTTGACAAAAAAATAAATAAAGAAATTAAAGGTGCGAGAAATATAAATGTTACAAGGCTTCGGGAGAGGTACATAATTATTCAAACAAAATAAAATAAATGTGTGAATTAAGAATTAAATCGAAACGAGGGCGTTGGACCCTTTTGCAAAATTAAATTACATGATGAAATTAATTAATATTAAAAGAAAGAAAGGACTTGTTTTTGGTGTTTTTTAGTGTTTTAGGATTTAATAGAAAAAGGAATTAATTAAAATTAAAATAAAATGCTAAACCTAATTCTAATTATTTTTTAATTTATTAAGAAAAATGTTGAAGTTTTTAACCTAAATTAAACCTAATTTTTATATATAAATTTAATTATGAAAATAAATAAAATAAATAATATTATTGTGAAAAAAGAGAAGTTAAAAAGGAATAAAACATTAACTAAACCTAGTTCTATATTTTTTTAGATTTTTGTTATGAAAGGAATTAAAATTAAAACCCTATTTTAAACTGATTAATTTACATGCATTTATTTACAAGAAAAATATTAGAAATAAATATATTTGATTTTTTATCTTTTCTGATTTTTATGATGTTTTTGTATTTTGTAGAAATAATTAATTAAATCAAAACAATAAAGAAAATAAAATAATAATTGAAAATATAGAGAATTGCAAACCAGGGAGGTGGTAGTCCCCAAAGTGGAGGTATAGATTCAGTAATCTGGCCCATTTGTTTTGGCCTATTTGGACTTTTTTCTGGACACGTGCAGAGGCGTTGACTCAAGCCTGTGGTGTTCGTTCAATCAGGGCCCTTGGATCCCTCCCAACGTACGCGTGGCTGGCTTGATTAAGAGGAGTATGGTGCGTCTGCAGCCTTGAAGCGCATGTGAACGTTAAAGGAAAAATAACATAGAAATTATTGAAGACCTGGGGCTCGAACCCAGGTCATGTGCTTTGCCACCACTGTCACTTGCCAACTGAACCAAATTCGCGCTGTTAACATATAATAATAATCAAATAATATAAAAGAAAGTTGGTTAATGGCTTTGTAACGCGCGCGAAGATTTGAACGCTCCACTCACAGGCAGCCACATAATCATCTTCCTCGTTTGGTTTTATTTTCCTGAAACGAAAACATATTAAGCAACGGTTTTCACACGTTGCTGAAAGTACCATATGAAAAAATAGCGAATAGGCCACAAGGCCTCATAAATTGATCGCGATGGCTGGTTTCTGTTCGTCCAAACGCGTTGAATCCAATGGCCTTGGTCTCAGCTTCTAATTTTGCCTTATCTCAAAAGCCCTAATTCTAAGGTTGAAGAACCCTAAATATCAACAATGGCATCTTTGCATACAACACATAAAAACGCAATTAGTTCACATGGTAAGCATCAGAAGGCATCATTGAATAAGAATACATAAACTATATGGCATGAAAATGTTTCAAAATTAAGATACGAGTATGCAATTTTATGAGAAAATTTTGGATTTTGTACAGCGATTCTTGAGGTTTGGATGATTGTTTTTTATTGAGGCACGTTCAATAGACCTTCAGCAAGCCAATGGAACAAAAATTATGTCTTGAATCGCCTTGAAAGGGAGTTTTCAGAATTGACTTTTTTTGAGAAAATTTCAAGTTTGTGAATGGCCTTCTTGCGCAGCTTAGTGTGTATTCTCATTAGGGTTGTGATCCTGGCATATGTAGTAGTGAATTAGGTCAAAAAGAATCAATCAAATCCATTGCATTCATTGATTTTGGAAATTTGATTTCTTAAGATTTTTTCATATCTTTTTCCATGTGTTTTTGGTTCAAAATCAAGCCAATCAACCCAAATCTTTCCATATTGGTACAAGCACGAAATCTTGAGGCTAAAACATGTACAAAAAGATTTGTTAGGTTAAGTTAAATATTTTTCACATATTTAATTGATTTAAGTGAATTATTATAAATAAAAATTCAAATAAATAAATAAAAAATGAGAAAATACTTCCCTTTGGTCCAAGTGGTCGTGCACATGCTTGGAATGATGAATTGTGGAAGAAAAATGGGCCCATTAGCAATTTTAGGTCATTTGAAGTAATGTTGACTTTTCAAAATATCCAAAATTTCCCAACTTCTACAAGGCATAACTTGCTCAATGTTTAAGCTTTTCTCATGTTCTTGGACATTTTGGAAAGGTCTTTGAGTCCTCTAACCAATGTCTTTGGTCCCATGTCATTTTGATTTACCAATCTTAAGTTATGGCCTTTGACTTAAAGTCCCTTTTTGTTGACTTTTGAAAATGACCTATAATGTTGAAATTGATAACTTTTTGTGAGAGTATTTCTTGGACTTGAAGTATGAAGATGAGTTGTAGGAAATGTCTTTCTCTTCAAAATGAGCTTTGGATGGAATTTTTCTGATAATCCATGTGAAAGTTATGCCTTGGTCAATTTCAGTTGACTTTTTCAGCTGTCCAAATAAGGAAACTTTTACATTTTGATGATTTCTGAGCCAAATTTTGAGAATCATGATCAAGCATTGATCAAATGATGTTTGTGGCTTCAAAATGATATGTTGACCAAAAATTTGAACTTTTGACTGTCAAATGACCATTTTGCCTCTACAGTTGACTGTAGTGCAATTAGGGTTTTTGACTGTGCAATTTTGTGCTGAATGTCTTGAAACTTGATATGAGGATACTTGACCATATTTGTAAGCATGTGAGACTTGATTGGACCTTTGGAAACTTCATTTTCTTGATCAGAACACAAACCCTAATTTTGACTGTATATGAGATCTTTGATTGTGCAACCCTTGGGGAGATTTGAAGCTTGACTTGGCAAATCTTTGAAGAATATGGGAGGGCAAATTTTGTGGTACAACACCATGTTTCATCATTTCCAAAGAGACCCGTATGCTTTTAGTTTCAATTTTGATCCAGTAAGAGATGTACAAACACAACATAATATTCACAAGCACGATTCCTTGGAAATAGAAAGAACATGTGTGTTAACTTTTTTCATGCATACAATTTTACATATTTCTTTTTTCTTTTTCTGAAAATAAATATGCTATGACGCAAGTGCAATACCATAAGTTCAAAAATTCTGCATAACAACAGTACAATCCTTTGGATAACTGCTGTATAAATCCAGTGAATAATCCTAATATCACATGATCGAAGGTTCGACACCAATTTCAGAATACAACGGAACTAAGTACCATGAATAACCGTTGTATAATCTCTGAACAAGTTGAATATACTAGGATCAAAGGTCCAGAACATAACCAAAGAACCATAGTCACCAACAGAACAAAATGGTCACCATTAGAACAAAATGGTCACCATCAGAACAAAACGGTCACCATCAGAACATAGTCACCATTTGAATAAATAGTTACCATTTGTACCTGTAAAGATTTTTGTCGCCCCACTCACAAGTCCAGACTAGGTCAAGATAAGTCAATGGTAACTCAAAATCACGGGCGCCTGAAATCACTACCATCAAGCCACATGTGTGGATGACGATAACACCCCATTTGAACCTCATCTGAGCGTAGTGTTATAACTGATTTTAAAATAAAAGTCGTCGCCGTTAATTTTTATCCTAAAGGAAGGGAGTATAAAGGAATAACCCTAAAGAGTTGAGAGATTCTAGGTTTGACTCGGTTCTAGACGAGGGGAAGGTGTTAGGCACCCCTTATCTACCTTGTTCACAATGATACTAGGTTTAGAAGAGCGTTTTAAGAAGTAGGGTTTTAAGTTTTCTTAGGGAAACTCGCCACGATTTTAATCGTATACCAACGTATCCTCTTAGGAGGAATCAGAGTCACAATTCATAGTTTACAGTTGGTTGGTATTTTTTGAGGATTACGTAAAAATGATTTCCAATTGTCCTTGAAACTTGTCTGGGTTGAAAATTGTGTGAGCGTAGACGTAGTTCGTAGTTATTCAAAAGAAATTCTCCTTAATCCTTTTTCAAAAACATCTTGATTTTTTGTTAAGTTAGTAGAAAAAATGATTTGAATGTTGGTTAGCTATATTAAGACGTAGAGCGGGAGTCTGATATAGTCTTCTCATTACATGGTCAGATATTGGCCACGTGTCGCTCGAAGATGGTGAATTTGGTGAATTGCGTGAATTTTAATTGTTTGATTTTGAATAATAAATTGGTAGACGATGTGTCGACCGATTTAATTATCCAAAGATGGCCATCCTATTTTTTATAAAAAAATATTGAATTAATTCGACTCGAAAAAATTTGGTTTCGAAAATTGTAATTAGGCCAACATCGAATGTTGAATTAGTCGAGAGACTCCAAAAAATATGTACAACAAAATAAATTAAACACCTTTTTATATCGGTCATACTCCTCTATCTTCTCTTAAAAATCTCCACCTTTTTTATATTTCTTATGAGAAAGCAAAAGGTAGTCGATGGCGGCTCAGTCGGTTGAGAGTGCGGGTTCCGGCGGTAATGGATCGTGAACGGAGGGCAAGGTTGAGCACATCGTCGGTTTCTTCACGACGGAGGTTGCTCGCGGACGAGATGAGGCGTGTAGATCTGTCCGATTATCTGCGAGGAGTGCTGGTTATTGGCGACGGATAGAGCTTGCAGCATCGGTCTGGCGAACATATATGTAGATCCATCGCGGTTTCTATAGGGGCTTCAGATTCGCGTGTGACGGTGATGTCATGAATTTGCAGTTCATTAGAAGTCTTAGATTCAACATCTTCTTTCTCTTGCTTCTTTCCTTTTTGTATTATTTCTGTGAAACAAAAAAACAACAAACAAAAAACCAACAATGGTGGTGGGTTAAAATTGAACACAGAAGTTGGGTCGTTGTTGTGTTGTTTCCTGAGATTGGCGAAGGAATATGTTGAAGAGTGTTAGTCCGCGAGGGAGTATCAGTGGAGATGATGGTGTTGTAATAAAGTTTCTGGTAGATTATAATATAAATGGTGATGGCGGTAGTTTGATAGAAATTGAGACGTGAAGTTGCGGGTGAAGATGAAAGGTGAGGCGAAAGTAGTGCTGAAGTGATTGATGGTGTTCTGGAGAGCGTGTTTCGATGGGTCTAGAAATGGAGTGGGTGATTAGATGGTGAGATGATGTTGTGCGATGGTTGCAAGGGAGAAAGTTTGAGTTACCGACGGAGTATTGTTGATATGTGTTAGTGGTAATGCAACTTGTTTATGCAGGTTGTTTTTTTTTCAAAAAAGTATTCTCAGTGAGTTTTGTTTCTTGTTAAAGTCAAAAGGAAAAAAAAATTGTTAATGGGTGGTGGTAGTAATTGTGTGAGTTTGGTGATGATAGTAGTATTATTCCACTGTAAAAAAACGTGAAAGAATGAATTGGATCTATGAGACATTCTTTTTTAGTTTTTGACTCAAAACATTGTTTTGACTATGCAAGAATAAGTGTAGTTTTTATGTACAAAACAGAACTAAAAAAATAAGACTTTTCTAATATGTACAGTACCATATGAGTTTGTATAGTGTATTAGTGAATGGGAACAATATTTACGATTAAAGTTGTAAGTGTATTAGTGAATGGGAACAATATTTACGATTAAAGTTGTAAGTGTATTAGTGAATGGGAACAATATTTACGATTAAAGTTGTAAGAACAACCATTAGGATATCATTATATGGTTTTAGAAAACAAACAAACAAGTTATGAAATCATCAGTCAAATAACTTTGAGAAAGAAGTTATGAAAAAAAATTGCAAAAGTGAATTTGTGAATGTGGGTAAGAAATTGTAAAATTATGGATATTGTGGATTTCCCTCTCTAGAAGTGTGAAAAATATGTTCTATTTATAGATAAAAAAAATACAAATTTGAAATAAAATAAAATTGACCAATTAGAAATTAAGCTTGACAGAAATTGAAATCAAATGGACAATAAGAAACACCTATTTGGAAAAGGAAATATTTTTTCATATTTATTATAATTTTTAAAAATACCATAATAAAAATACGAAAATAATATTTAAATAATAAAAAAATGGTTTTTTTTATGATGGAAATAAAATTAGTGATAATAAACCGGACATGTCAACAAAATGCACCAAGTGAGACTCAAACTCGTAACCTTGTATCTACAGGCTCACTTCTTTACCAATTGTGTTATGCCATTTCATTTGAGATAAAAAAGAAAATTTAAAACATATGAAAGGTGACCATGTATTTGCTTTATATATATATATATATATATATATATATATATATATATATATATATATATATATATATATATATATATATATATATATATATATATATATATATATATATATATATATATATATATATATATATATATATATATATATATATATATATATATATATATATATATATATATATATATATATAATTTGAAATAAATTATTATATTTTTAAATAGTCTTAAAAACAAATAAACCCAAAATGTTAATAATATCCAAAAAAATTATGAAACCAAGTTACAAAAATGAGGCAGGAAAATTTGGAGCATGACACGTAGACGACATGACTGTGCTGGTAGGACATTCATCCGATAGCTGTCATTTTCTATTTTATTCCTAGGTTTCCTAGATAGTGCACTCTAGCCTGGATACTGGGCCTTTTACCTCAATAGTAACACCCACCCAACATGGAGAACCAGAATCCAGCACAGTAGATAACCAATATGGAAAGCGATAAAATGCAATGCAAACATATGCTTAGATAAACATGTATAAATGAATAAGATGAAAGCATAAAAATAAACATCCAAAGAAAAGAAAACAAGAGCTAGGAACGACTCTGGAATGGACCAACAATTGGTTGATCTATCCCTAGTGAAGTCTCCAGCTGAAACAACCGGCTGAACAAATCATCAAGATGAAATCAATGAAGTCACCATCGAATATTTTTTATTCCACATGAAGGGAAAGGTAAACATCGAGTAAATCTGAGAAGGGTGAAATCACAATCAAATGATCGAGAGATCGGGTAAGGGAGTCTGTTACGCGAGGGGAAGGTATTAGCACTCCACAGCCCGTAGTATTCTACGGTATCCACTCATGTTGTTCTAATCAAATGGTGTATTCCAAATCTAATGCTTAAGAGCTAAAAAGAAAATCCAAAGAGGGAATGCATGCAAAAGAAAACAGAAAATAATGTAGGGAAAATAAAGTTGTGCTCGCTTGGGCCCTACCCCTGCCTACATATTCTTTTTGAGGAATCAGAGTTACCGTAGTTCGGCTCACTTGTATTGGTGGATTTGTGTTTTTCAGTTGAACAATGTTAGATTCAATCATTCCACCGTTGTTCGACCTTTGGAGACTTACTGTTGTGACTGATTTAAAATCAAGAGTCGCCGCTACTAGTTTTTATCCTAAGGAAGAGAATCTAATAGAAAATCCTAATTCGCAAGACAAAGATTCTAAGTCTCAGACTTCTTTAGACGAAAGGAAGGTGTTAGGCACCTTTGATCTACCTTATTCTTAAGGATACTAGGTTTAGGTTTAGGTGTAGGTTTCGGGTTAAACAGGGTTTTAATTTTTAATAGGGGAACTCGCCACGATTTTAATCGTATGCCTACGTATCCTCTTAGGAGGAATCAGAGTCTCATTTCATAGTTCGCGTGGGTTTGTGTTTTTTAGGGGTTGCAAAAGTACTTTGAATTGCCTCGCATTTTGACAAGATGTAGAGATTGTGGAATTTTGGACTAAATGCGCGATTAGTCAAAATATATTTGAAACCCTTTAGCAAAAGTTAGTTGTTTAGATTAGTTTATTGCGAAAAATAATTTGATGTTTTTTTATATTTTTTATAATATTAATTATTAAAATTCTTAATTAATGCATGATCAAAAATATTTTAGTACAATATTGTAATATAAAAATATATGCATGAGTTTTTAAATAAAATAATTATTTAAATGATAATAAATAGTATTAAGAAAATAAAATAAAATAAAAATAATTAATATTAATAGTAACGACAATTATTATAAAAAGAAATAATAATAATAAATAATATGTAATAATAAGAAATATAGAAAATAAGAAAATAAAAAAAAATAGAAAAAATATTGAAATTAATACTCACGGGTGCATTTTATGTTGGATAGTAAAAAGGGTAGGGTGTTAAAAGTCAGGGCCTAAACTCAGATATTGAATTCAGGCCCAGTAAGCTTGCGGGGTGTATTGCTTACCGCGTTTCAGCAATTGTAACGAATATGGGTGCCAAAAATAATTGGGTCTGGCCCAAACGTGCTTGAGAGGGGGCCTGACTGATTGAGTGTGTGAGGGTATACGAAGCCTACCCCGGACTTGGCCTTATGGGCATCCAGTGGTGATCAAAGGGCTAGATTGAAAGGGTGCATGCTATTACAGTATACACGCGTGTATCAGATTACGACAGAATATAAGATTTTGTGTAACATTTATTTTCATTTTTCGTTTTACAGATTCATTCTCTCTCTCTCTCTCTCTCTCTCTCTCTCTCTATCTCTCTCTATCTATCGATCTCTCTCTCTCCCTCTCTTATTCAACAAAACCTTTTAACCCTTTTCCTCTTCTCTAACCCTAGAACAAACCTCCCCGCGGCGGCCCAAAACCGACCCATATTTATCTTAACCCCATCAATAAATCACAAGCGAAAAGAAGTTAAGTGTCCTTACCCTCGTGCGATTCTTCTTGTTTTGATCTCTGAATTTCTGGATTTAAGCTAATCATCTTCTGCCTTTGGGTTTGCAGGTACGGTTATGGTTCTCGAGGGTGGAAAAGGCGACGAAAACGACAATAGCGATTAGGGTTTCAGATGTTGAAATCCTAATCGCTCCTCTCTTCGTCTTGAACAACCGCGAGGTCTTCGTATATTCTTCTTCAATTTCTCCTTTTCGGTTCTTCGAAAATCCCCCTGCTTCTCTGTATTTTTTCCCAATATTTATAGGGTTAAGATTATGGTTTCACAAGATTACTGTTACGAATCAATTAGCACATATTTAGGGATTTAGAACAATTTTAGGGTTTGTGATTTATTTATAATTGATTTTGTTGCTGTATATTCAATTTTATTGATTGAGATGTAATTGAGATTGAGATTTCGTAGAGATTTGATTTTGTTTGTATTTGCAATAAACAGTAAATGTGATTTAGTATATTTTAGTTTTTGATTGTGATTGAGATTTAATTTTGGATTCGATTTGATATTGTTTTAGTTTTTGAACAAAAATTTAGGAAAATAAATATTTTAATTTGTACAATATATGTTATTTGATAAAAACATGTGCATATTTTGGTAAGATTGATACAGTATCCGTTAGTTACTTTTTGGGCCTTGTGTAACATATCTACAAAACAGGCTATTGGGCCTTAAGCTGTCTAACCCAATACGTTATCTCAGTCAACCTTTCTCTTTCTTTGCTTACCGCGAAGACTCTTTTTTTCAATACGGATTGGGCCTATACAACAGGCCTTTTTATAAAACCAAACTTTATTTTCAAACATTACAAAAAAATATTATTTAATAAAATATCTTTTTTTTAAAAAAATTATTATAATAAATCTTTTGATAGATAAAAAGTACTATTATTTTCTTAAAAATTAATTTATAGGATCAAAATAATGTTTAATATATTTTTTACAATAAAACAGTAATAATAAAACGGGCTAATTACTTAATGGGCCTGTAATTTGAATTTCCACCCCCTTCTCTTACATCAGACCTCTATTTGGGCCTTATATTAATAAATAGTTTATATATATATATATATATATATATATATATATATATATATATATATATATATATATATATATATATATATATATATATATATATATATATATATATATATATATATCAGTAAAACAATATTTTAATAGTAATAATAAAAATGCCAAATG